ACCTGGCGCAGCAGCATGAGGGGAGGCGGTACGGGGCCCCATGGCAGATTTACGGGCCTGGCAGCAGCAATTGGGAGGCCCGTAATCGCCAGCACCCTATGACAAAATTGAACACACCAGCAGTGTGAGGAGACCTGAAAGTGGGCACATGGCAGAGTGTGGCGATGGAGAACAGCAGCGAAAAGCTAGCTAATGCAATGGGAGGCCGTACAGGGACCCATGAGACACTCTGGACCTGGCAGCAGCATGAGGAGGCGGTACAGGGGCCCATGTCAGATTACGGGCCTGGCAGCAGCAATGGGAGGGGTCCCGTAATCTGCCAGCAACCCTATGACAAAATGGAACACACCAGCAGTGTGAGGAGACCTGAAAGTGGCACATGGCAGAGTGTGGCGCATGGAGACAGCAGCAATGGGAGGCCTGTACAGGGCAAACACCAGAGACTTCACCTGGGCAGCAGCATGAGGAGGCGGTACGGGGCCCATGGCAGATTACGGGCCTGGCAGCAGCAATGGGAGGCCCGTAATCTGCCAGCACCCTATGACAAAATCTCGCGAACACACCAGCAGTGTGAGGAGACCTGAAAGTGGCACATGGCAGAGTGTGGCGATGGAGACAGCAGCAATGGGAGGCCGTACAGGGACCCATGAGAGACTCTTGGACCTGGCAGCAGCATGAGGAGGCGGTATACTAGGGGCCCATGGCAGATTACGGCCTGGCAGCAGCAATGGGAGGCCCGTAATCTGCCAGCACCCTATGACAAAATGGAACACAACACCAGCAGTGTGAGGAGACCTGAAAGTGGCACATGGCAGAGTGTGGCGATGGAGACAGCAGCAGCAATTGGAGGCCGTACAGGGACCCATGAGACACTCATGGACCTGGCAGCAGCATGAGGAGGCGGTAACAGGGCCCATGGCAGATTACGGGCCTGGCAGCAGCAATGGGAGGCCCGTAATCTGCCAGCAACCCTATGACAAAATGGACAGCACCAGCAGTGTGAGGAGACCTGAAAAAGTGGCACATGGCAGAGTGTGGCGATGGAGACAGCAGCAATGGGAGGCCGTACAGGGACCCATGAGACACTCTGGACCTGGCAGCAGCATGAGGAGGCGGTACAGGGGCCCATGGCAGATTACAGGCCTGGCAGCAGCAATGGGAGGCCCGTAATCTGCCAGCACCCTATGACAAAATGGAACACACCAGCAGTGTGAGGAGACCTGAAAGTGGCGCACATGGCAGAGTGTGGCGATGGAGACAGCAGCAATGGGAGGCCGTACAGGGACCCATGAGACACTCTGGACCTGGCAGCAGCATGAGGAGCGGTACAGGGGCCCATGGCAGATTACAGGCCTGGCAGCAGCAATGGGAGGCCCGTAATCTGCCAGCACCCTATGACCAGAATCCCTAAAAATGGAAACACCACCAGCAGTGTGAGGAGACCTGAAAGTGGCACATGGCAGAGTGTGGCGATGGAGACAGCAGCAATGGGAGGCCGTACAGGGACCCATGAGAGACTCTGGACCTGGCAGCAGCATGAGGAGGCGGTACTAGGGGGCCCATGGCAGATTACGGACGGGCCTGGTCCAAGCAGCAATGGGAGGCCCGTAATCTGCCAGCACCCTATGACAAAAAATGGAACACACCAGCAGTGTGTGAGGAGACCTGAAAGTGGCACATGGCAGAGTGTGGCGATGGAGACAGCAGCAATGGGAGGCCGTACAGGGACCCATGAGACACTCTGGACCTGGCAGCAGCATGAGGAGGCGGTACAGGGGCCCATGGCAGATTACGGGCCTGGCAGCAGCAATGGGAGGCCCGTAATCTGCCAGCACCCTATGACACAAAATGGACACACCAGCAGTGTGAGGAGACCTGAAAGTGGCACATGGCAGAGTGTGGCGATGGAGACAGCAGCAATGGGAGGCCGTACAGGGACCCATGAGAGACTCTGGACCTGGCAGCAGCATGAGGAGGCGGTACGGGGCCCATGGCAGATTACGGGCCTGGCAGCAGCAATGGGAGGCCCGTAATCTGCCAGCACCCTATGACAAAAATGGAACACCACCAGCAGTGTGAGGAGACCTGAAAGTGGCACATGGCAGAGTGTGGCGATGGAGACAGCAGCAATGGGAGGCCGTACAGGGACCCATGAGACACTCTGGACCTGGCAGCAGCATGAGGAGGCGGTACAGGGGCCCATGGCAGATTACGGCCTGGCAGCAGCAATGGGAGGCCCGTAATCTGCCAGCACCCTATGACAAAATGGAACACACAGCACCAGCAGTGTTGAGGAGACCTGAAAGTGGCACATGGCAGAGTGTGGCGATGGAGACAGCAGCAATGGGAGGCCGTACAGGGACCCATGATGGACACTCGACTGTGGACCTGGCAGCAGCATGAGAGGAGGCGGTACGGGGGCCCATGGCAGATTACGGGCCTGGCAGCAGCAATGGGAGGCCGTAATCTGCCAGCACCCTATGACAAAATGGAACACACCAGCAGTGTGAGGAGACCTGAAAGTGGCACATGGCAGAGTGTGGCGATGGAGACAGCAGCAATGGGAGGCCGTACAGGGACCCATGAGACACTCTGGACCTGGCAGCAGCATGAGGAGGCGGTACAGGGGCCCATGGCAGATTACGGGCCTGGCAGCAGCAATGGGAGGCCCGTAATCTGCCAGCACCCTATGTCAACAAAATGGAACACACCAGCAGTGTGAGGAGACCTGAAAGTGGCACATGGCAGAGTGTGGCGATGGAGACAGCAGCAATGGGAGGCCGTACAGGGACCCATGAGAGACTCTGGACCTGGCAGCAGCATGAGGAGGCGGTACGGGGGGCCCATGGCAGATTACGGGCCCTGGCAGCAGCATGGGAGGCCCGTAATCTGCCAGCACCCTATGACAAAATGGAACACACCACAGCAGTGTGAGGAGACCTGAAAGTGGCACATGGCAGAGTGTGGCGATGGAGACAGCAGCAATGGTGAGCCGTACAGGGACCCATGAGAAGAATCTGACACTCTGGACCTGGCAGCAGCATGAGGAGGCGGTACAGGGGCCCATGGCAGATTACGGGCCTGGCAGCAGCAATGGGAGGCCCGTAATCTGCCAGCACCCTATGACAATAAATGGAAACACACCAGCAGTGTGAGGAGACCTGAAAGTGGCACATGGCAGAGTGTGGCGATGGAGACAGCAGCAATGGGAGGCCGTACAGGGACCCATGAGACACTCTGGACCTGGCAGCAGCATGAGGAGGCGGTACAAGGGGGCCCATGGCAGATTACGGGCCTGGCAGCAGCAATGGGAGGCCCGTAATCTGCCAGCACCCTATGACAAAAAATGGAACACACCCAGCAGTGTGAGGAGACCTGAAAGTGGCACATGGCAGAGTGTGGCGATGGAGACAGCAGCAATGGGAGGCCGTACAGGGACCCATGAGACACTCTGGACCTGGCAGCAGCATGAGGAGGCGGTACGGGGGCCCATGGCAGATTACGGGCCTGGCAGCAGCAATGGGAGGCCCGTAATCTGCCAGCACCCTATGACAAAAATGGAACACACCAGCAGTGTGAGGAGACCTGAAAGTGGCACATGTTTGGGGCATGATTCATGGCGGATTTAGTCAGTTGTGTCAGGAACTGGTGGTTTGAAATCCAGACTAATCCACGCCTGATTCATTTTCACAAACGTGAGTCTCTCCACACTTTGGGTGGACAGTCGTGTCCTCCGCGGAGTTACAATACCTCCTGCCTGCACTAAACACGCGCTCCGATGCCACGCTACTGGCCGGGCATGACAGCCTTTCAAGGGCAAATTCAGCTAGTTGGGGCCAAAGGTCAAGTTTCGTTGCCCAGTAGTCAAGGGGATTGTCTACCTCGGTTGGCAGGGTGCTGTCCAAGTAGGCCCAAGCCTGTTGTTTGAGGTCCTGCTCCAGGTCCACCTGATGCTGCTGCTGCTGCTGCGGCTGGTTAGTAGTTTCCTCACTGCGCTGGTGAAGAAAGCTACTCATCATCGACTGCAGACTGAGGCAGCCGCTGCTGGTGGAGCTGCCACTGCTCCTACCACCCCACCCCCCTCCCCTGCTGCCATGGCAGCGGAACGCGAGCGCACAGGGCCCACAGTGTCTGAGGATGGACGTTGGCGCAGAAAGGCAGAGACCAACTGACTACATAGGTGGTTTTTATAGTACGTTATTTTTGGCCTCCCTCTCAGCAGGTGTGAAAAAGGCCACCATTTTTGAACGGTAGCGAGGGTCCAACAAGGTGGACACAGCCAAAAGTCATCCCTCTGTCTGATGGTTATTATTCGGCTGTCGCTGTCGCTACACGCAAGCAACCGAGCATGCTATGGGCCATTTGTGCCAAGGAATGCGAGGGACTCCCTGCCCTCCATCTCCACAGCATACTGCCACGGTGCGTCTGGGTCCTCTGTCTCCTCCTCCTCCTCCTCTACCAGATGCTCCTGCTCCTCCACTCCTGTCCGCTGAGTGGAAAAACCACCCATTTCACTCAATAATTCCTGAGCACAAATGTCCTCCTCTACCTCCTCCTCTTCTTCCTGTCCTGCCCCCACAGGGGTCATGTGGCGTTGAGATCTGTGCGCCACGTCTACCGCACCCTGACCAGCCATTGTTAACAGCATTTGTTCCAGGACGTGCAACAGAGGAATGACGTCGTTCATCCCATAGTCCTGCCGACTCACGAATAGCGTGGCCTCCTCAAAGGGCCTGAGCAAGCGGCAGGTGTCACGCATGAGCTGCCAATGGCTGACATCGAAGTTACACAGGGGAGTACCTTTATCCGCTTGTAACATCAGGAAATCGGTGATGGCCTTTCGCTGTTCGTAAAGGCGGTCTAACATGTGTAGGGTTGAATTCCACCTTGTTGCAACGTCGCAGATCAGGCGATGCTGTGGAATTCCGTTCTGCCGCTGCAGCTCAAGGAGGGTGTGCTTTGCGGTGTAGGAATGGCTGAAATGCATGCAAAGTTTACGTGACATTTTAAGGATGTCTTGCAGTGGGATGGTGGATTTTAGGAACCGCTTGACAACCAGATTGAACACGTGAGCCATGCATGGCGCATGGCACAACCTTCCTTGACGCAGAGCAGACACCATGTTCTTTCCGTTGTCGGTCAACATGGTTCCGATTTTCAGTTTGCGCGGAGACAGCCATCTGTCGATTTCTCTGTTCATTACACTCAGAAGTTCCTCCCCTGTGTGACTACGTTCGCCAAGGCATACCAGGTGCAGCACAGCGTGACACCGTTGCGCCCCTGCACATGTGATATGCCGGTCGGGTAATGGGACTTGGCACGGGGGTGGCGGCTGAGGACACGGCGGAAGAAGAGGTGGTAGAGGCGGACATCTTTTGTGGACCAAGGACGTGCAAACGTGGAGGCAAAAGCGGCGTGACCTGTCCAAGTTGCTGGTGCGGCTGTGCCGGCACCACGTTCACCCAGTGGGCCGTAAATGACATGTACTGTCCCTGACCGTAGTTACAGCTCCACACGTCGGCGCTGCCGTGCACTTTGGCAGAGACCGACATGCTCAAAGACTGGCCCACCATCTCTTCTACATGTGAATGCAGGGCTGGCACTGCCTTTTTGGCGAAGAAATGCCGGCTTGGCACTCTCCACCGCGGCGCGGCACAAGCCATCATTTCTCGGAAAGGTGCTGAGTCCACCACTTGGAAAGGGAGGGACTGCAGCACCAGCAACTTGGACAGGAGGACGTTCAGCTTTTGCACCGTCGGGTGCGTGCTCGCAAACTGTTGTCTCTTGGAAACGGATTCCAAGAAAGACTGCTGACGGAATCCGTGAAGAGGAGTAGCAGGAGAAGGAGCATCTGAACGAGCGGAAGATGCCAACGAGCGACAACTCCCCTCAGCAGAGGTGTTGGAGCCTTGACTGGCTGATAGAGGGCGATTGACGTCGGGTGACGGAGCAAGTAACGGAGCGGGTGATGGAGCGGGGGCTGGGGCAGGCAGAACCGCCGTATCTTTATCACGGTTTTCCCAGGCCACCAAATGGCGACGCTGCATATGCTGACGCAACGCTGTAGTCCCAACATGGGCCCCCTGGCCACGCTTGACTTTCTGGCCACATAGTCGACATACGGCTACGTTTTACTTCCTCGGCGGCTTGACGAAAAAATTGCCACACCGCCGAGTAGGAAACTTTGCCCCCGCTACTCCTCACTGGCTGACTGCTACTTCCTCCGTGCACACCGGCACCACTACTGGCCGTGGTGGTAGGCTGCAGTGGAGCTGGTGCTCTACTCCGTGGCCGTTTGCCTCCACTGACACTGCTAGCGACCCTGCTGCCTCCTGGGCAACCCCACCGACTGTTTTGCTCGCTGCCAAGCTGGCACCCTCTTCTCCTGATGATGCGGAAGCAATAGCCTGATGACGACGAGGCTGCCAAGTGCGATCAGCCTCATCATCATCAATTAGGGTCTCCGCCTCACTACTAGCCCCCTCGGCTGCGTGTGGGTCAGGAGACAGACCTGTCTCTAGACCGGCTACCGAGCCACTCTCCTCGCCAGTACTTCTTCGCCTGGCTGCTGAAGAGGCGGATGTCTCCCCCCGTTTTCCTGACCGCCCTCTGTTAGCTCTTCCTCACTGTACAGTGGGGCTGAGCCCACAGCATGCGATACTTGGCTTGGTGAGGGGAACACCAAAGGACAGGGGCAGGTAGAGGACACGTGATTTCAGTGGGCTTGCTCCCGGGCCATGCCAACTAACGGTTGTGTCTGACTACCCACGACCGTTGGCTGTAGGTGTCAGAGGTGACCTGGGAAGAGGAAGACGACCGAGCCAACCAATCGATGACGGCAGGGTTTGTCGGTGGAGACACGACCGCTGGATGACACCGGGAGCACTGGCCTCTGGCTGCGACTAGTGCTGCCTCGACCCCTTCCTCTGCTGCCACGTCTGCTCGCTCCTAAAACATTGCCTCCTCTGCCACTCCTCTGCATGTTGTCTGACATACTCTTTTAATTAAACGATTCTGTGTCCCTGAGTAACAATTCTGTGTCCCTCAGTAACAATTCTGTGTCTGTCCCTGAGTAACAATTCTGTGTCCCTCAGTAACAATTCTGTGTCCCCCTCAGTAACAATTCTGTGTCCTGTCTGAGTCCCTGAGTAACAATTCTGTGTCCCTGAGTAACAATTCTGTGTCCCTGAGTAACAATTCTGTGTCCCTCAGTACAATAATTTCTGTGTCCCTCAGTAACAATTCTGTGTCCCCTCAGTAACAATTCTGTGTCTGTCCCTGAGTAACAATTCTGTGTCCCTGAGTTAAAACAATTCTGTGTCCCTGAGTAACAATTCTGTGTCTCTCTCAGTAACAATTCGGTGTCCCTCAGTAACAATTCTGTCCCTCAGTAACAATTCTGTCCCTCAGTAACAATTCTGTGTCCCTCAGTAACAATTCTGTGTCTGTCCCTGAGTAACAATTCTGTGTCTGTCCCTGAGTAACAATTCTGTGTCTGTCCCTGAGTAACAATTCTGTGTCTGTCCCTCAGTAACAATTCTGTGTCCCTCAGTAACAATTCTGTTCCCTCAGTAACAATTCTGTGTCCCTCAGTAACAATTCTGTGTCTGTCCCTGAGTAACAATTCTGTGTCTGTCCCTGAGTAACAATTTTGTGTCTGTCCCTGAGTAACAATTCTGTGTCTGTCCCTGAGTAACAATTCTGTGTCCCTCAGTAACAATTCTGTCTGTGTCCCTGAGTAACAATTTTGTGTCTGTCCCTGAGTAACAATTCTGTGTCTGTCCCTGAGTAACAATTCTGTGTCTGTCCCTGAGTAACAATTCTGTGTCCCTGAGTAACAATTCTGTGTCCCTGAGTAACAATTCTGTGTCCCTCAGTAACAATTCAGTGTCCCCCCTCAGTAACAATTCTGTGTCTGTCCCTGAGTAACAATTCTGTGTTCTGTCCCTGAGTAAAAATTCTGTGTCTGTCCCTGAGTAACAATTCTGTGTCCCTAAGTAAACGGTTTCTGTGTCCTAAGTAACGGTTCTGTGGCCCTAAGTAACGGTTCTGATTGTCCCTAAGTAACGATTCTGTGGCCCTAAGTAACGGTTCTGTGTCCCTAAGTAACGTTCTAAGGGTTCTTGTTGTCCCTAAGTAACAATTCTGTGTCTGTCCCTGAGTAACAATTCTGTGTCCCTAAGTAACGGTTCTGTGTCTCTAAAGTAACGGTTCTGTGGCCCTAAGTAAACGGTTCTGTGGCCCTAAGTAACGGTTTC